GTCCTACCATGCCCTTATATCGTGCAGTTTGCCGTCTATAGAAACTACCTAAAGGCCCACTACAATATCTATCTGTAGCTTGGATTTTACAGGACGTCTGCTCATAGCCGCTTTATCCCAGCACGGAGTGTGAATGTGGGTTACAGCAATTTTGGGTAAATACCCACCTTAAGTAACTGTCAAGTCAGAGTTCTGGAAACCAAGACTGTTACTGCTACTGATATTCCGAATACTACTAACTAGGGGTGCAGCTGAGTGATACTATTGCTGGAACTATTTCTGGCCGTATTATTAGTCAGAAAGTGATGCTGATTAAAGTCAGCACTGGGTTCATATCCCCACAATCTTAACAAGAGGTATAGTAGTACCGGTGCCAGCACTGACGCTGTCATTTGTCGGAGGTCAGAACATCATCTTCCTAAATAGTTGCTCTACAAGTACGGTACTCGAGGACAACAGTTTTGCTGAGACTGCAATAGGCTAAATGCTTTGACCAGGTTTTGAGGACAAGTCTACCCTATCAAAGCTAAACAAATCTAAACTACGAGATAGATTTGTGTCTAAACTGTATAATGAAGCTACAGCCAGTTGGCTTTCAAAGTAAGCTAGATTAGAATTATGTGTAGCTAGTAAGACAGATTAACTGCTGCTGTCACATTTTACGAAGTTTTGGCTAGGATACTGCTGCTAGAAGTAATATGCCACTGCTAAGAGTGCTAATTCTGGTAATCCTACTTACTGAGGCCAGCGGATACTATGTTCTAGTAATATATTCCTATAATTGTATCAATAGCTGACATGCATCCTATTTTTGCATGGGAATATGAGCTTACGCGCGTCGTTAACTTCACCCGGCGAGCGTCCACGTGCGCTTAGTAAGTAAGAATCTCATCAGTCACCACGTGGTCACATGGGAATGACGTCAACCAACCTAGCCTGGTTAAAGGTCAAAATGCAGCGATTGCGGTGATACACAGAGCTCATGGATAGTCGCATAGGGGAATTGCAGTCTTTCGACACTGTAAGTAACATAGCGGTCCCCATACTTAATATCTGCGGAGTATCAGTTCATGTGATACAATGGAGATGCTTTCAAGCGAAGATGCGATCAATGGAACAAGACTTTTATTTACCAGACGCTTTGGATTCTGTCGAAAACCCTTCATCAGAGGTAATCATCGAATAGGGTGATATATGCACAGCTTACGGTGATAAATGCACCGACTGCACAATATTTATGGTGCTTAGCGGCCACGCGTATGCGCATCACTGGATTCTAAACTGGTGTGGTGATGGCTTGGCAATCCGTTTCCGAGTCAGTAATTGCCCTGATTTCATTTCGTTGCGGCAATTATGTTCGCTGTCGTCGAAGTTTTCGCTGGACACATGCCTGAGTCTCCTGCTCAGATAATGTCTTAATACGGAGTATGGGAACGGCAGTTCGTTGCGCTTGCTAATTTACTGTGGGCTTGACAACCATGACTCTAGCAGCTCGCGGCTCACGCGGTTGTCAGCTCTTGCGAGGATTTCAGCTGCGTTAAACTTGAAAATATGGCCGGGTCCAGTCGAGTGAGCTGCAACCTGAGAGTTAACGTCTTTCCTCTTATTTCAACAAGTGTG